GCTGAAAAAGTGCAAATGCACACAACAACATTAAGGAAACCAAACTTCGAAGAATGAATGTACAATTCCCTTGATTTGATATAGTGGAAATGAAATCAAAGATAAAAGAAAAGCATATCATTTGCTCCCCGCAAAGGAAACTAATTGATTATATCTGCACTAATTATTACTTGGAATGCGCTTTACCCTTACACGTGTATCTCTTTTATTGGCTTTATGTCATTTGCAGGTACTACTACATATACCAAAAAAAAAAATTCTAGTACTCTAGCTTGGAGTATCCCCGTTCATTTCACCGATTTGAGTTTAAAATTTAAGTTTTGTTACAGTAAAAAGCTTTCAGAAACAGTCACATCTAACTTTTTTACTACAGTAAAAAGCTCTCACACAAAATCATATCTCAACTGGAATTACAAACTTAAATCAGTGAAGTGAACGGACTATAGATGTTTAGTTGGAGAATTTAAATCATGATTTGAATCATGGTTAATGGTTCGTTATAATATTTTTTCTTATAAAAAATACACGTAAATTAAAAATAATTTTAATCACATAATTTTAAACTATAAATCAAACGTCTTTACAGTGATTTTCAACTTGAATTTTACTACTTTACAACTTAAATCTAACACTACAGGGTATTTGTAAAATAGGCGTAATAATAATGTGGTTCAGGAAATTTTCTCAAATAAGAGGGCGGTGTCATTTTTACAAGCATCGTAAAATCAGCCAGTGTCATAATTGGAACTCCAATTTTTAAGTATTTTTCCACCGAAACCCATAAAAAAAAAGACAATACTTTTACTGTTTTGTTTATTATTATTTTTATAGTACTGGTTGATGATCGGTGGCGACCTTTTGTTTTTATCTTTTTTTCATGATTATAGCTCTGCAGCAACTTTTGCAGTTTTGGGGCACCGAAGGAATATGACGGTTTATGTATCTCCAAATAATTGAGGCAAAGCTATAAGCTTTGAATGAAATTTAAGGGTCCGTTTGGCAGAGAGATTCGTTTCTTGATTTAAATTATGATTCATAGTTTATTATAATATTTTTTCTCACAAAAAATTAACATAAATAAAAAATAGTTCAAATCACATGATTTAAATCCTCCAACCAAACGTCCTCTAAGTCTTCATTTAACGGCAATGAATGAACAAAATTTGTTTATCAGCATAAGCTTTTTAAGTGCATGAATATCTGGTTCAATATACACGATCTCGTTAAATTCTACACAAAATAATATCTCAACTGGAATTACAAACTTAAATCAGTGAAGTGAACGGGCTATAGATGTTTAGTTGGAGAATTTAAATCATGATTTGAATCATAGTTAATGGTTCGTTATAATATTTTTTCTTATAAAAAATATACGTAAATCAAAAATAATTTTAATCACATAATTTTAAACTATAAATCAAACGTCTTTACAGTGATTTTCAACTTGAATTTTACTACTTTACAACTTAAATCTAACACTACAGGGTATTTGTAAAATAGGCGTAATAATAATGTGGTTCAGGAAATTTTCTCAAATAAGAGGGCGGTGTCATTTTTACAAGCATCGTAAAATCAGCCAGTGTCATAATTGGAACTCCAATTTTTAAGTATTTTTCCACCGAAACCCATAAAAAAAAAGACAATACTTTTACTGTTTTGTTTATTATTATTTTTATAGTACTGGTTGATGATCGGTGGCGACCTTTTGTTTTTATCTTTTTTTCATGATTATAGCTCTGCAGCAACTTTTGCAGTTTTGGGGCACCGAAGGAATATGACGGTTTATGTATCTCCAAATAATTGAGGCAAAGCTATAAGCTTTGAATGAAATTTAATGGTTCGTTTGGTAAGGGGATTCATTTTTTAATTTGAATTATGATTCATGATTTATTATAATATTTTTTTTTATAAAAAATTTATATAAATAAAAAATGATTCAAATAACATGATTTGAATCCTCCAACCAAACGTCCTCTAAATCCTCATTTAATGGCAATGAATGAACAAAATTTGTTTATCAGCATAAGCTTTTTAAGTGCATGAATATCTGGTTCAATATACACGATCTCGTTAAATTCTTATAATGTAGGCAAATCAAGCTATATTAAAACACAATACTTTTCTTTTTTTTTCCTATTTTATAGTTTTAGCTTGTTTACGTACACTCTTTTTCTTGCCCAAATTTGGTGGAGAAGCCATAGGATTGCTTTTGTTATGATGAATATTTAAAGATCAATACGTGGCTTTCTTCTTTTGTGAATCTTGCTTCCAAGTTACCACCAATGGATTAGTGTAGCGATTAAAATATTTTTCATTTTTTTTTTCTTTTCATAATGCATTTAAAATTTGATACTTCACAACCCCATTTTAAAATTCTGCTTAATCAATGTATTGTGTGGCATTGTTAAATTTTATGGTAACACGAGTGAATATTGAGCGCATTTTTAGAGTAAAAATGAATCAAGTTCTTTTTGTTTTATTGGTGGATCTTAGAAATTTCAAATAAGACGTGTTGACACCAATAATTTTTTTTTTAAGGAAAAAAAAATCTTGCTCGCCAGTTTGCATTAACACGTTAATCTAGAAGGTTTTTTTTGAATGGTGTTACAAGATTAACCAATACCACCCGCTCTGGTTCAATATCAGAATTGATTAGAGATAAGCATGAGATATCCCAAATTGACCTACACAAATACATATTTATATATATATATATGTGTGTGTATTTATATTATATGATACCTACATGTACGTGTACTATTTGTAGGTGGACCAGTATTATGTAATTTACGTTTGACCAAGTTTTTGTTTGTTTATATTTTTTCCTAACGAGTTATGTTGACCAAGTTTATATGTTAGTTCTTTTTTTTTTTGAGTAAATAAATCTTAGGTATATTATCTAAGCTTCTAAAGTTGCATTCATTACATTTAAGAAGCAGATTAAAGTTGATACGTCTTGCATGAATACGATATTACTAGTTATTTAAACTGAATTTATTAAGAGAAAAAACTCTAGTCACCTAAACCATTATAGCAATTAGTCCAATTAAAACATATACAAATACTCCCGCAAAAATATATGTATACATATATATATATATATACACACATATATATACATATACAAATACAGTTTCTTGTTTTTTAGCTAACATTCACCCTGCTTGACCTCATCATCCTAAAACTCATGACAGCTCTTCTATTGGTACATGTTCTGCCTACCTCAACTTGTTAGAAAACTTTTAAAAAATAAAATAAAATAAAGGGTAAAACTAAAAAGAACATTTTTTTTTACGTTAAATTTTTTATTTGTTAAATTTATTTAAAATTACGTAAAAATTAAAAAATATTTAAATTTAACGGTTAAAAAAATTTAATCTATCAGTACGTCAGGCGTATTAGAATATCTCATAAACTAAAATTTTAAAAAATTTAGAAGATTACGCGATAAATTATGAAAAAATATTTTGTCAGTATGATACTCTTTAATGTTAATAATGGTTCCTTTGAAAAAACAAAAAACAAAAAATTGTTTCTTATTAATACAATGTTTTCTTCTTAACGTACAATAGAATTCTCTAAATTTAAAACTAATTGATTTTGTCAAATTCTTTTTATAATTTTTGTATGTAAATTTTTAATTTGATTAACTATAATATAAAACATAATGTTCATGAAATACGCACAAAAGACAGGTTTACCCCGCAAATTATGAACCAATTGTAAAGGGAATATAATAATCAAACTATTTCACCCTCCTAATAGTTTTCCGCATTCATTAATTATATTATTTTGACTATATTCCTTTTAAGACAAAATTAACTAGCCAAACTTAGAGCACATAGATTTTTTCATTTGATTTAGGATCTTACTTTACACTAAATTTTAAGTTGTTTATCTAAGACATTATCCTTTCAAGTTAAACAAAAAAAAAAAAATCATATATCTATAATCTCTTTTGCAAGTTATATATCTTTTTGATAGAAATTTCTCGCAATAGCCACAACAAAGACAGAAACAGTCTTAATTAAGGAAAGAAAACAAAAACAAAGCGGGTGTTTAGAACTATTTTTGAAAACGGTTTTCACGTATTTTGAGAAGTAAAAAAATGAAAATAAAAATAAAATGACGTTTGTTTAACAAATATTTTAAAAATAAAATAAAAACGAAACAGTGAAAATTATTTTTGTTAAAGAATTAGATTACAGTTGAAAGTTGTTTTCACTTTTCTGTTTTTATTTTTTAGTACTTATCAATAATATAATAATATATTAATTAAGAAATAAGATTTCATTTTTTATTATATTCACAACAATTTTTTAAAAAACTAACTAAACGCAATTTCAAAATCGATTTTAAAATAATTTTTAAAACAATCTCATTTTTATTTTTTATTAAAAAAAATCATTTTAAAACTAATTTTAAACGCATCTAAATTTTATTGCAAAACCATAAACTAAATTCATAGCTGATTATAGTAAAGTAAATTTTATTATAATAAATAAAAAGGAAAATAAAATCGTAGCTCATTTCCAACAACGTTCAAGCTCCACACTGACGCAGTGACACTCCCAAACTTTCCCATGAAACTAAAATAAAAATAATATTAAAAAATGATAATAATAATAATAATATTATTATTTTTATGGTAAATAAACAAAATAAAATATTTACACGTTCGACACGACCCTGGATACGGTTTTCGACCCCGGAATACGAGGGCATTACCCGATATTCCACAAAGTGGAGGGCATAATGGTAAATTCACATTCCCAATACAATTCAGAGAGCCCACGACCGTTCTCGAAACACGTGGCTTGCGACTACCATTTTACCAGAGTTAACCGTGTGCAACTCCCACCACGTCAGCGTAATGCCTTCCGAGGATACTTCGCCACGTGGCATCCGACATGGCGACATCGGTCCTAGTCAGCAAGCCCGGTTCTTCGGCTCCTATAAAAGCCCAAGCCCATCTCTTCATACCTCAATACTCACTCACAGTCTCTCCGGTTCCCATTTTAACTCTCTCTCTCTCTCTCTCCTCTCAGAACCACATCGCCGGCGACTATTGGTCACCAGAGAAATGAATATTCCAGCGACCGTCACTTGTGCAACCTTACACAATGCTCGCATCTCCGATCATCGCCGACACGTCTTCCACGAAAAGTGACCACCACCGGAAGCGATCTCATTTCGCTTAATTACGCTCCAAGTTATTCTCTGTCTGACCTTCTCCTTCTTCTTCGGCGAATTTCCGCCAAAAAGCTGATACGATAATTGTAGAGGAAGGTACCGATTTTCTTTTTTCCCTGGTTCGTACATAAGTTTTGGTAGATTTTCTTTTTTCCTTTTTCTGAAGATTTGGACCGGATTGACCTGTTGATCGGAGGAAGAAAAAGAAAAGGCAAAAAAAAAGTGAGGATTTTGTTTTTTTGATTTTGTTAGCTGAGAAAAGGAAGCTGAATGTACATGAATTAAGTGCTTTTTCATTTCTCACGGATTTTGCGTCAATTTCTGTGTTTCTGGAAGTGAGTGAGTATTAAATGGAGTCTCCGTGTATTAGGCTCTGAAAATGGAGCAGAACTGACACAAAAAGCTTTTACTATAGGATTTGTATTTAGGTTTAGAAAACTAGTTAGAGAGAGAAAACTTTCAAGCGTTTCAATCTTTGAAACCTTGTGTTGTCGGAGAACTTTGACCATGCCGTTTCCGATGAAGATCCAACCGCTCGATACCGATTCCGAGACGGCGAGAGAACCGGTTAGAGCTGATTCGGCTAAACCGATGTTGAAATCGCGATTCAGGAGGCTCTTTGACAGGCAGTTCCCAAGCGTGTTGAAGAATTCGTCGGCGGAGAAGCCTGAACCGCCACAGTACGCCGCTGCTGCCACTGCCACTGCCGTCGCCAACAGTTTTAAAGATGGAGGAACCGTCGCTGAGTTCGAGCCGAGCTCGGTTTGCTTGGCGAAGATGGTGCAGAACTTCATGGAGGAGAGCAACAACGAGAGGCAGCCCGCGCCGCCTGCCAAATGCGGCCGCAACCGCTGCAATTGCTTCAATGCCAACAGCAACGACAGCTCCGACGACGAATTCGACGTCTTCGGCGGCTTCGGCGATTCTCTCACCTCAGGATCGTTCGGCGGCGACACCTCCGATTTGCTCAAGGTAACTTTTTCTCGCCGATTCTCGGCAACCAAACACAGGAGTGGTTTCCTAATTCCTTCTATTACAAGCTGAGAAATTGAAAATCTTCGGTTTTCTTGGCACACAGACTTTGATTTCTTGCGCTAGTGTGGCCGAGAGAAACCTCTTGGCGGACACAGCGAAGATCGTCGAGAAGAACAAAATCCACAAACGAAAAGACGATCTGATCAAGATCGTCACCGAAGGCCTCTCCTCTCTCGGCTACGATTCCTCCATCTGCAAATCCAAATGCTCCTCTTTCCCGGCCGGTACAATCTCCGATAAACTCAAATTCTTTTAACGAATTTCATATAGAAAAAAATAAGAGCAAAAATAGAAATTGAAGGAGAAAAATTCGTTTCTTTGCAATTTCAGGTGAATACGAGTACATAGACGTGATAGTACAAGGCGAGAGGTTGTTGATCGACATTGATTTCAGATCAGAGTTCGAGGTCGCTCGATCAACTGGGGCCTACAAGGCGATCCTCCAATCGCTGCCGTACATCTTCGTCGGAAAACCCGATCGTCTCGGCCAGATCGTCGCCGTTGTCTCTGAGGGCGCGAAGCAGAGCCTGAAGAAGAAAGGCATGCACTTTCCTCCATGGAGAAAAGCCGAGTACATGCGAGCCAAATGGCTATCGCCTCACACCAGAGCCTCGCAGCCGCCTCAAAACGACGTCGCCGCCGCGTCGGAACAGCCAAAATCCGACGGCGACGGCGACTCCCAAAGCGACTGCGGAGAATTGGATCTCATATTCGGCGAGAAGAGCTCGCCGACGTCGGAAAATAATTCCGGCGACGGAGGTGGAGGAGAACCGTCGTCAGAACTGGTGCCCACGTGGCAGCCGCCGGCGGTCAACCCGAAGAGCGGCGAGAGAGGAGCGAAGATCGTTACCGGATTGGCTTCTCTGCTAAAAAAAAAACCCTGAGAAAAAAAAAAAAAGAAAAAAGAAAAAGAAAAATTTTGTATTAAACCCGATATTTTTCAAATTTTCCAGATATAAAATATATGAATATATAAATAACATAATATAAAAAGACATATAAAATGAGGAGTTCGGATATTAGTACAGCGTCTCCCTTATTTTATTTTATTTTTTTCCTTCTTTTTTTCAAATGTATGCGAGGTACATTGTAAGAGTTAAAGAGACAAAACAATCTCATGTAATAAAATAGTTAGAAATTAGAAAAAGTTTATACTTGTTCATGACTCTAAAGTCATTTTCTCTCAAAAAAAAAAAAATTAAATTTAACTTTTTGATACAGTATATTTTTTTTTTCATACACAATTTAAATCATGACTTGTGTTATATAAATGAACATATCCTTAATAATTCACAGAGAAAAGTTTTCCTCAAAATTTTTCAACCAAAATTTACGTTTTCTTTGATAATTATTTGTATTTTAATTATTGCAAGTTTGTTGTTTAAGTGCAGCGAGCGACCGTTTGTTGAAAGGGCGAGCAAAAGGAGGATGAAACTTTCCTTTCTTATTATTTTCTCGTCTTTTTATGCTCTTTTCACTTTTGAAATTCTCGCCCGTTATTTTTCTTTTATTTTTTAGTGTTTATTTTAAAACTTTTACAGTTTTACTGTGACTATTAATAGATCCGTTTAGTTCACTGATTTGAGTTTTTAATTCGAATTAAGATGTGACTTTATATGAGAGTTTTTTATTGTAATAAAAAAATTAAATGTGATTATTTTTTAAAATTTTTTACTGTAATAAAATTTAAATTTTAAACTCGAATCGGTAAAATAAACGGACCATGATTCTCTTTTTCTTAAAGTAAATGAACGGTTGTTAATATGGTGACATCAGAGAGAAAAAGAGCTCGTGGCGTCTCGAACACCGTGAACAGGAGGGGAAGATGAAAAAAAGAAAGCGAATAAATATGTTCATTAGAAATGCGTGACATTCTCTTTTTCAATTTTTTTTTTTTTTTTTTTTGTGAGAGTGCTGAAAATAAAACGCCTCTTTTGCTGCGACTGTGCCGGTGAAAACCAGTCATAAAATTCACGGCCACAGTGAAACTCCGTTTGGGTGAAAATTTGACTGATTAACCGACCTGGATTGTCTGACACCGTTAAAATACTAATTGGTTTCTCTTGCCGAGGGTTATTTTTTTTTTTTTTGTATTTTTTATTGTATTTTTTATTTTTTATTTTATTTTTTTCAGCAGAAATTTCCCACTAGTGATAGTGCTCTCCGTTTCCCTGGTGGTGAAAGACTTCTGGCTCAGGTCATTTTCTCTTAGAAAAAATAAAAAAGAGAGAAAATTTTCAAAGTTTTTATGTTATGATTCCAAATTGAATAGTATTTCACTTTTGACCTTTGGTTAGTTTTAGAATCTAAGAACATTTTTTTTTTGATGTCTTGACAAACTGTGACCGGAAAAAAAAAATCACATTAGCCCCCGTTCACTTCGCTTATTCGAGTTTAGAATTCGAGTTGAGATGTGATTTTATGTGAGAGCTTTTTACTGTAGTAAAAAAGTTAGATGTGATTGTTTGTGAGAGCTTTTTATTGTAAAAAAACTCAAATTCTAAACTCGAATCAGCGAAGTGAACAGGGCCTTAGTAATCCCCATAGATATTAGTACTGATTTTAGTAAATCTCAACATCTCTATTTTACATTTGTAAGATTTGGTTAAAATCCAACAGATGCCAAATGTGTGACACATTATAAGTGAACCTGCTTTTTCTGAGACACCAACAGGTCCTCTATTGTCTGTCACAGTATTTAGGAAGCACCATACCTTCTTGGAATTTTATAGCAGATAACTCTTTTTTTTTAAAAAAAACTTTTATTAATTTACTTTGGACTTTCTTTAGTGTTTCATCTTTTTTCGAAACAGCGGTGTTTCTTATTTATTAATCGTTAAATTTGTATTAAATCTGATAAAAAATCAAATCAAATTTAAAAAATAATACGGGACAGCTCATGATGTTCATATCGATCTATTATGCGCCTCTGCATCTAGCATTGGGTAGACCTCATACAATAACTGTCCTAGCTCTACCGTATCTTTTGTTTCATTTCTTCTGGAACAATCACAAACACTTTTTTGATTATGGATCTACTAACAGAAATTCAATGCGTAATCTTAGCATTCAATGTGTATTCCTGAATAATCTCATTTTTCAATTATTCAACCATTTCATTTTACCAAGTTCAATGTTAGTCAGATTAGTCAACATTTATATGTTTCGATGCAACAACAAGATGTTATTTGTAACAAGTAGTTTTGTTGGTTGGTTAATTGGTCACATTTTATTCATGAAATGGGTTGGATTGGTATTAGTCTGGATACAGCAAAACAATTCTATTAGATCTAATAAGTACCTTATGTCAGAATTGAGAAATTTTATGGTTCGAATCTTTAGTATTCTATTATTTATTACCTGTGTCTACTATTTAGGCAGAATACCGTCACCCATTCTTACTAAGAAACTGAAAGAAACGGAAGAAAGGGGGGAAAGTGAGGAAGAAAGAGATGTAGAAAAAACTTCAGAAACGAAGGGGACTAAACAGGAACAAGAGGGATCCACCGAAGAAGATCCTTCTCCTTCCCTTTTTTCGGAAGAAAAGGAGGATCCGGAAAAAATCGATTTTAAAGAGACACGATATAAAAATAAACCCGTTTATGAAACTTATTATCTGGATGTGGATCGGAATCAAGAAAATTCGAAGTTAGAAATATTTAAAGAAAAAAAAGAACTCCTCTGGAGTAAATTAATAAAAAGATTAATACATAAGATATATACACTAAAAGATAGGAAGAGATTCGACCGACACCTACATATTTAATACCTTCTCCTACGAAAAAACTCGAAATACCGACCCCATTCGTAATTCCATCAATTACTTGTCTATCAAAAAAATGAATTAGTTCAGACAATATTCTTATACCTTGAATTAAAAATGTTGCATAAAAAAAATCAATATAACCCCGATTATACGACCAATCATATGTCACATTTATTATTTTATCCTCAAAAATTTTCAGTTTCTTAGAAATACCTTTAACAAATGAATTAAATAAATTCAAATTTTGTAAAGATGAATAACCAGGATTATATAAAAAGGATGCTATAAGGATTCCGAAAGAAGCTATACTGACTGAAAAAGTTGCATTTGTTATAAACTCATACCAATCCCAATCCATCAAATTTTTTTTATTTTGATATAAAAGGTTTATAGACGGAGTTAATAATTTTGTTAATATATCCAACTGAATTCCTTCTTGATTGAATTGATTGAAGAAAGGAATTCCTATAACTCCAATGAACAAAGTAAATAGACCTAATACAAGCATAGAAAATAGCATAGTATTTTCCGACTCATGAGGATACGAGAAACTGTTCTTAGTACCGAAATTAGGATTAGGAATAGTAATAATAGGCCCCCTCAAATTTCTTACATTAGAGCTTCGATCTAACGCTCGATGGGCCCCGTTAGGACACAAAGTTTTCGCCGAAAACGTGGCAGCCGTCGATCGCGAAGTGAGGGTCGAACTAACGGCCGGAG